TTAGCGCCCCTTCGGCTCGCGGGCATCCGCATATTCATATTCGCGGGAGCAATTGATTATGCACAGAGACAAGGTGCTCCGGCACCTCCCCCTGTTGGGGTTGCAGGTCAACCGAGAAAAGAGCAAACTTGCCCCTGTGTAGAGGATCTCCTTTCTCGGGATGGAGAATACGGGCACACACAGAGTCTCTGTTACTGCGCTGTGTTGCCGCGCCCTCAGCCCTTGGAACGACCCCTCGCTCCTGCAGGCCGGTGTATCTCTGGGATAGGTGTCCAGTCATGTTGTTGTTTCAACAGATACTTCCAACACAGGCTGGGGGGCCATGTGTTGCGGGCAGGCAGCTGCGGGCCTATGGAAGTGTGCCCAGTTGCATTGGCATATCAATCGCCTAGAGCTGTTGGCAGTGTTCCTCGCTCTCCACCGCTTTTTTTCGATGCTGGAGCAGCAACACGTGCTGGTCAGGACGGACAGTACGGTGGCGGCAGCATATGTCAACCATATGGGGGGTATACACCGAATACACTCTGGAGAATGGAGACCCCACCCCGAGTCTGTCCAGCTGATATGGACGCGTTCGGGGAGACCCAGACCAATCTGTTTGCTTCCCCCGATCGCTCATTGCCAGTTGTTCTTTCCCTGACCGAGTGCTCTCGGCACGGATGCACTGGCCCACAGCTGGCCTCGGGGCATGCGCAAGTATGCGTTTCCTCCAGTGAGCCTGCTCGGGCAGTTACTGTGCAATTTCAGGGAGGACGAGGAGCAGGTTCTGCTAGTTGCGCCCCTCTGGCCCAACCGGACCTGGATATCAGAGCTCTCCCTCCTTGCGACGGCCCTCCCCTGGCAGATCCCTTTGAGACAGAACCTACTCTCTCAGAGACAGGGCACCATCTGGCACCCTGGCCCCGATCTCTGGAACCTCCACGTGTGGTCCCTAGACGCGAGGAAGACCAAGGTAACCAACCATCTGCGGTGGTTGATACCATCACTCAGGCTAGAGCCCCCTCCACGAGGCGCGCCTACGCCCTGAAGTGGAGTCTATTCACTGAATGGTGTGTCTCTCACAGAGAAGACCCCCGAACCTGCCAGATCAGTGTTGTGCTCTCTTTCCTTCAAGAGAAGCTGGAGAGCAGGCTGTCGCCCTCCACGCTCAAGGTTTACGTGGCCGCCATCTTCGCTCATCATGATGCGGTAGCTGGCGGCACCGTGGGAAAGCATAACCTCATCATTCGGTTCCTCAGAGGCGCTAGGCGAATTTATCCAACTCGCCCCCCTCTCATGCCCTCTTGGGATCTCGCCCTCGTTCTCACGAGCTTGCGCACAGATCCCTTTAAGCCACTCAAATCAGTATCCTTAAGATTCCTGTCCCTGAAGACAGCTCTGCTGGTCGCGTTGGCCTCCTTTAAAGAGCCCATATTATACATGAAATAGGGTCATATCTTGGTTGTAAGGGTCTCCAACAACAGTTTAATATGCATGCAAGGTCAAAAAACACTTTCATGGTCTTATAATCTGCATTTATTTTTACCTAATTATCCCAGCGACTCCTGTATGAATCGTTCAGGGATTCATTTGTTCCCAAACCCCTCCTTAGCGCGAAGCTAATCTGCGCTGATTGGACCAATGAAGTCTGTTGCGATTGGTTGACTGCCTTCAGTCAGAGAATGAAATGCCAAACAGCTAATCAGCAATATAAAAGTAATCACAGTTCATACACGCTCGATAGTGTAGGCGTGGATTTTAGCTGCCAGTGGGTCAATGTAAATACAGACTATGGACTTGAAAATTCAGACGACTGACTATTTTATTGAGCAAAAACTCCAAAAACAGTTGAGGAGATCTCCTAGCTTCTCACTCTGCTCTTTTCACAGACACACACACACATATTGCACACACTCACACACACACACATACGCACTTAACCCTGCTCCGGACGACAACGCGCGCGCGCACGCACGCACGCACGCACACACACACACACACACACACACACACACACACACACACACACACACACACACACACACACACACACACACACACACACACACAAACACAACCACAACCACAAACACACACACCTCCGGACGACAGCGCGCGCACACGCACACACAGACACACACACTACTCCCCGTCCACAGAGCTCCGTTAACAAATCAGCACGCGTCGCGTTTTTAACGTGACTTTGCACGCGATAAGAGAATATAGCCAGTTAACCTGATACAGTACACGCGGTTACAAGTAACAAATCACAACTAAATACATTTGCAAGCTGGAGTCAATGAGGCAACTTTAACCGCACGTACTTACACTTGAGAAATGGAGGAAGAAATCCATCCGAACGTCCAGCAGAAAGTTAACTCTTTACTGATCCTTCCTTTAACAAACGCTGATGAAGTATTCTTTGTAGCATGTAGTTTCCAGAAGTTTCCAGTAGTTTCCAACTGCTTGGCTATAATGCTGAGGTTTCATCTTTGGGTAGAGACTCAATATATCCATCTGCAGTGTGACTTCAATCGACCGGCATGTTTGTGTGTGTGTGTGTGTGTCTCGGTTTCTGCGTCAGAGGGCGGGGCCTGAGGTTTGAAATCTCCCTGGTTTGCGCGTGCACGTGAATAACTTGGTTTCGTTCGTACGTCATGGCGAAACACCTAATGAATCGGTATCAAGGCGACTCGTTTGAAGCACTATGAGTCGACTCTTTTTTTAGATGAATCAACCGTTTTTAACACTGTACACTAACAGATTTAAGCCTTAGCTGGATACTCCACTTCACTTAGAGCTGTGTTACACACTACATGGAGGGGAATTTTCAAAAACCCATAATATGGGCTCTTTAAGAGGGTCGGGGACCTGGAGGCATTTTCAGTCAGTGACTTGTGCCTGGAATTCGGGCCGGATTTTTCTCACGTTTTCCTGAGACCCCGCCCGGGTTATGTGCCCAAGGTTCCTACCACTCTCTTTAGAGACCAGGTAGTAAACCTGCAAGCGCTGCCCCCAGAGGAGGCAGACCCAGCCCATTCCTTACTTGTCCAGTTCGCGCCCTGCTCATCTATGTGGACTGTACTCAGTACTTAGGTCATCTGAGCAGCTCTTTGTCTGTTATGGCGGTCGGCAGCAGGGAAGTGCCGTATACAAAGATTATCCCACTGGATTGTGGAGGCCATTCATTTGCTTATTTGAGCAGAGGTGAGCCGTGTTCCCCGGGAGTGTGTGCACACTCCACTCGAAGCGTTGCATCCTCTTGGGCGCGTCCACGCGGCGCCTCTCTAACAGACATCTGTAGAGCTGCGGGCTGGGCGACACCCAACACATTTGTGAGATTTTACAATCTGTGAGTGGAGCCGGTTTCCTCAAGGGTATTAGGTAACCATTGGTGAGTGAGGAAACATCTCGGTAGGGTGTTGTAACACGCTTGCGGTGCCATTTTCCCTAACACGGAGAGATGTGTACCTTCTTATCTGTCAGTAAGTTCCCCGTCAGGTGAGCCCTGCAGATTTCTCCATGGCCCCTAGCACTGACTCAGCGGAGGAGTCACTTGCTGGCCCATTACGTTGTAGGTCTGCCCGCATCTTGGGTATAGGTGCCTGCTATGTGTGATCCCCACTAGGCGATCCCATATGCTTATTCCGCCACGGTTCAGTCCCCCCTCTTGGGTGGACCCGTGTCTTCCCTATCTGCCAACCACCTTCTTATGCGCACTCCCCCTTCTTAGGGCTAGTCCATATGCAATTGCCATCTTTTATCCCCCACTGGGTACGGATGGTCTCCGCAGCGTCCTCCCTATCGGGATTGCACGCTAGCGACTCCCAAAAAATATAGCCAATCCATAAAACTTCCTTTGAAGTGGGATAAGTTAAGGCCAGGGACACGTTGGAGGACCGCGCCTCCCATGAGGTGGGTGTGTCACACTTGCTTGACTAACCTCTCATCGGGGGCGTTGGTAAGGTGCAGTCATTATGGCGTTTCCATAGTTCTCCCATTCGTGGATTTCTAAATTCAAATCCACTAATAGCATTGGAGTTCCCCACCCGAAGGGGACACTCAGGTTACAGAAGTAACGCTTCGTTCCAGGAGGAGGGGAACGGAAATGCTATTTACCATCGCCATAATGACTGTCCCTTAGCTGTTAGCAAGTCTCTTCAGCTTAAAAGGATGGTGTTTGCTCGCTCCAGGTGTGCTTATATGCTGGGTTAATTGGCAATGAAGCACACCTGTGCAAGCTTACGCTGCCAATTCATTGGCTTTCATTGGCCCGTTCAACTCTTTCAGAAAAGCGGCTTCTGAACCGAAACCTCCCATTCGTGGATTTCTAAATTCAAATCCAATAATAGCATTTTCGTTCCCCGAAGGGTTACTTATGTAACCTGAGCATTTCTTTTGGCTTAAGTTCCTCATTTAACTCGTCCTGCTTTTTCTTTCAGCAGACCTCAGCGCGCTGTGAGATTATCATAGTTTGTACTGTAGGGGCGTACTGCATTTATTTTTTGGTTCGATTTAAATATTGTTACACTCCTAAATGACTAGAATACCTAAAATGAACAGTATCCTCTCCCGGTAACTTGTACTTTGGAACTATTAACACCCAAAACTTGTTCATAATTATTAATTGCTACTTATGTTGTGAACATCTATTCCTGATTGTGCCTTATTTCTTTTTAAACTAGCAATTGTATCAAATAAATTACAGGGATTGTGTTTTTTGTTCTTTGAAAAATCTTTATCTTAAATATAAACAGAAGGTATACCGAAAACTTTGCAACCCCGAAAATCTCAAAAGGATAATTTTGTCTAATGAACACTAAAGAGGACATTTTGAAAAATGTTGCTAAGAAAACAGATGGTGGTATTTATTGAGGTCTAAACTAGGAAAAAAGTCAGGGAAGTCAATGCTGCCATTCAACTGTTTGCAGTAAAAGTTGCAACCATTTAGAATACAGAAATATAATTGAGAACGAGATAAAATAAGAATGACCTTTTTCCCTTGTATCATTTGTGTACAGATCCTTGACTGGCTGGTTCAGATTTGTCTGGCTCTGCAGTATATCCATGAGAACAATGTTCTTCACAGAGATGTAACGCCTCAGGTGTGTACTGTAAAGGCTCAGTGATTTATTTGTCACCAAAGCAAAGTGTATCATTTACATTTACATTTAGTTATGTGAGGACAAATGAGGACAAGGAAGCAATTTACACAACTATAAGAGAAACAATGAATTTTTATAAGATTTCTGTTCTCATTCCATAGAATGTTTTCCTCACTGAAGATGGCTACATCAACCTAGGAGATTTTGGATGTGCAAAAGCGCTAAGCAGGTGAAATAAATTGTTAACAAGAAATTTTACATTTATTTGATTTGTTTTAATTTAAAATATTTGATTTGTCTTTTTTCAGTCCAGTCTGTCCAGAAGTTTATCAACAGAGATACAATTCTAAAAGGTAACTGTTTTGTGGTCAATCTGTATTTTTAATAATATTTTTATAGTATTTTATACAATACAATCAAAGTTTATGGAGGACAATTACTCAGATTGAAGTTTTAGTCATACAAAACAACATTTATTTTTATGTAATTCAAGTATCTAACTTAAACTTTGTTTAGTGATATTTGGTCATTTGGATGGCTGCTCTATTATCTCTGCATGCTGGATGTGTGGGTGAGTACATTTCTTTCTTTCTTTACGGTCTTTCTTTCTTTATGGTCTTTATTTCTTTACTATCTTTCTTTTTTTTACTGTCTTTTTTTCTTTCTTTATTGTCTTTCTTTCTTTACGGTCTTTTTTTATGGTCTTTCTTTCTTTCTTTACTGTATTTCTTTCTTTCTTTTCTGTCTTTCTTTCTTTCTTTTCTGTCTTTCTTTCTTTACGGTCTTTCTTTCTTTCTTCGCGGTCTTTTTTTCTTTATGGTTTTTCTTTACTATCTTTCTTTTAATCTTTACTGTCTTTCTTTAGTGTCTTTTTTTACTGTCTTTTTTTCTTTTTTTACGGTCTATTTCTTTACTGTCTTTCTTTATGGTCTTTCTTTCTTTATTTCTTTACAGTCTTTTTTCATTCTTTACTGTCTTTCTTTATTTATGGTCTTTCTTTCTTTACGGTCTTTCTTTCTTTCTTTACAGTCTTTCTTTCTTTCTTACTTTACGGTCTTTCTTTACTGTCTTTCTTTCTTTGTGGTCTTTCTTTACAGTCTTTTTTTCTTTCTTTACGGTGTTTTTTTCTTTTGTTACGGTCTTTCTTTCTTTATGGTCTTTCTTTACAGTCTTTTTTCTATCTTTACTGTCTTTCTTTCTTTACGGTCTTTCTTTCTTTGCGGTATTTCTTTCTTTCTTTCTGTACGGTCTTTACGGTATTTCTTTCTTTCTTTATGGTCTTTCTTTACGGGCTTTTTTTCTTTACGGTCTCTTTCTTTATGGTCTTTCTTTCTTTACGGTCTTTCTTTCTTTCTTTCCTTCTTAACGGTCTTTCTTTCTTTACAGTCTTTTTTCTTTCTTTATGGTCTTCTTTCTTTCTTTACAGTCTTTTTTTATTTCTTTACTGTCTTTCTTTTTTTCTTTCTTTCTTTATCGTCTGTCTTTCTTTACAGTCTTTTTTCTTTCTTTACTGTCTTTCTTTCTTTCTTTACTGTCTTTCTTTTTTTCCTTACGGTCTTTTTTTCTTTCTTTCTGGTCTTTCTTTCTTTCTTTCTTTACTGTCTTTCTTTTTTCTTTACGGTCTTTCTTTCTTTCTTTCTGTTCTTTCTTTACGGTCTTTCTTTCTTTACAGTCGTTTTTTCTTTCTTTACGGTCTTTTTTTCTTTTTTATGGTCTTTCTTTCTTTCTTTCTTTACAGTCTTTTTTTCTTTCTTTGCGGTATTTCTTTCTTTGCGGTATTTCTTTCTTTGCGGTATTTCTTTCTTTCTTTACGGTCTTTCTTTACTGGCTTTTTTTCTTTACGGTATTTCTTTCTTTCTTTATGGTCTTTCTTTCTTTACGGTCTTTCTTTCTTTCCAGTCTTTTTTTCTTTCTTTACGGTCTTTTTTCTTTTTTTATGGTCTTTTTTTCTTTCTTTACTGTCTTTCTTTCTTTACTGTTTTCTTTCGTTATGGTCTTTTTTCTTTCTTTACCGTCTTTCTTTCGTTATGGTCTTTTTTCGTTCTTTACTGTCTTTCTTTCTTTTTTACGGTCTTTCTTTCCGCTCTTTCTTTCTTTCTTTCTTTCCGGTCTTTCTTTTCTTTCTTCATGTTGTTGTATGAAACATTAAGGCCATGACGTTGATTTCTGGTAATTGTATGAATTGAAACTAATATGAATAAAAACTAAGCATTAACGGCATTGTCAGTCACAAAGATTTTGGCCACAGGTCTTGCTAGAGTTTTTCAAATAAAATGGTCTTTAAATGTGTTAACCTGCCTAGAAACCAAGTGGCAACATCCCAATTTCCCTCGTGAAGACAATACAGAAGTAACTGAAACTCATGGACTTGCCTTTTGGGGGCTGGCTCCATAAACTCTAAATGTTCACTGACAGCAATGCTAAATTGGACAATTTTACCGATAAAGACATGTTTACAGCCTAGTAAAAAAGATGATTATGGTGTATAGCTAATATTACCCTTCATGGCAACTGTGAGGGGGTGATTTTTTTTTTTAATAATTCATCCGTTTTGTTTATATTAGATTATAGTAAGTCTGCATAAATAAGGGTATGGCCAATTGAGTGACAGCTAGGTCTCACTGGTTGCCATCACCTCACTTCAGCTGATTCCGGCTGATTAGCTGATGAACCTGGCATAAACATGCTTTGAGCACCTAATTATGGTCACAAACCACTTAAGTTGCCTCTATTTCCCAAGTGAGTGAAATTATATGCTTATATAACAAACAATTTTTTTTTTTATTTTATTTAGGATCATTTATCATTTATAATGTTCTTCAGAGCTGTAATGCGCTATATAATCTGACAGATTGATTAGCTTTAGGCTCTAGATCAGTCATCTGAAGCATTGGCATACAGTGTTATGCCTGGATTTCATCAGTAGTCCTGCATTTACTAACACAGACTATATCTGAAGTGTTTAGAGGTAATTCGCGTTTTCCTATTATAGAAATAAGAACAATGTTTAGAGGCTTAAAGCATTACAACAGTGTTTTTAAAAGACTAAACACTTTATTGATATAGTATACAGCCAAGCACATGTGGTCAGAAGTATTAAGTGTTTCTCCCATAGGAAAGCCTGTCTAAGCAAAATGCTTGTAGGCATCTGTAGCTCCATTCAGGCGCCACCCTTGTTTAGTAACCCTTGTTCAGTGTGATGAAGGTTGGCCAAGCCTACTTGTAGTTTCATGTGCATTCCTCAGAAACCTATGGGTGACATCACAGATGCTACATCCGTATTTTTTATGTCCTATGATAGAAACTAAAATACAGCATGCAGAGGATATCAAGATTAATCAGACTTTCATTTGTGCTTTATCTGACAGTCAAACAAAACAGAGCGCCGTCGCCTACATGACAACAGCATGGCAGGAAACACCCCTGAAATCTCAGAGATGTACTCGTTGGATCTACAGATACTCATCAAACAAATGCTCAGCTGTGACCTTAAAGACAGACCTTCAGCTGAGGAGATTCTAGCTGAACCATTCCTGAAAGAGGCAGTAAAGAGAAACAAGAGAATATCAATAGAGCTGGAACAAACGTTCATCAGAGCTCTCAATGCCTTCAATAAGGCGTATAATGCACACTACAGAGATTTTAAAGCTTTAGTTGATGAGTGGGGGGAAACAACAGATTCACTAGAAGATATGCATTATAGTACCACAGCAGGCAGTCTGACAGGAGCAGCGATTGGGACAGCAGGAGGAATCACTGCAGTGGTTGGTGCAATTCTGGCACCTTTCACTTTCGGAGCGTCTCTGATTGTAGCAGGAGTTGGTATTGGAGTTGGAGTTGCAGGTGGAGTAACAGGAGCTGCTTCTAACATTACCAAAACAGCAAGAGACAAATCACTCCGCCAGAAGATTGAAAAACTGATGCAGGACTATCAAAGTGTGAGCACACCAATTCTTGACTCACTGAAAACAGTGAGGAGGGTAATGAGAAAAATCATTAAGTTCCAAAGTTTTGTTTCAAGCTCAACTTTCAATAATGTGCAAATGGGATTGAGGTTAGGCAGGACCACAGTAGCTGGTGTCACAGAATTCATTACTCTTGGAATGCTGGCAAGTTTCGGCAGGATTGCTGTTCAGTCTGCCAATATAGGACGAGTAGTAGCAGCAGCTTCAGGTGTGTTAAGTGGAATATTAGTCATTGTTGACGTCGTCTTCATAGTGAAAGACTCCAGAGAGATTCATGAGATGAGACAACACTGGAGAAATGATGATCCTGATAAGGTCACATCAGATGTACTCAAGTCAATTGCACAGATGAGGAAAACATACAAAGAGCTCTGCACTGTGTTGCAGGACATTCACAAAACAAGAGAGGAACTGAATAGTCATATTAGCCAGAGCAGAGATTAGAAAGCTTAAACACAAAATAACAAAGACTAATGCAGGACTTTGTCACTTTGGTCTTGTGTTTTCTTGTTTTGGTGGCAGAGTCCGGCCACTTGTCCTGTCCTGAATGCACTGTTGAAGTTCCCTCAGGTTGTGCACTCATTTCTCTTGTCTTTGTTTTTAAAGAGAGCATGCAATCTTGGGTGAGCTTGAGCTGTGCATTGTTTTGTTTCTGTTTTAGCAACAGGTTCTTGGGTAACCTTGAGTTATGTGTCCTTGATCTTGTTTTGTCATTTGTGTTGGTGTGGGGTTCAATGTCACTATCAGTGTCTTTTGTGAGTGCATATTTGTGAGTGCATGGCCGGGAGTTTACATGTACCATGTCCTGTCCTGTGGATGATGTGACAAGCTCCATTGAGTGAATTTTGTCTGACATTGCATCACTGAGACTACATGTCTCAGCTTGCACATGCCAGTCTGCAGTCAGATACTATTGGGTTTGGTGGGTGGTGGTGTTGTTAGTGTCACAGAAGGCTCAAGGTTGCATGCAGCCATGTGCTTCCGTGTTGCATTTTGTGTGAGTATGCAGCTGATGAGTGATTTCATGTGGTTTTATGTGGCACGTGGTTTCGTTTTGGAATATATACTTTTCTTCTTTATACACAATGTAAGTTCTGGGCAGATATAAATAATGGGACAGATGTTTAACAAGAAGAGGACCGTATACATATCTACTGACCACAATACAGTGATGTTAAAAGAGCAAGAAGCCATTTTTGCAAAACATTATATTACTCTTTTTCACAATATCAAACCTCTTAAGAACAGGTAAAATAATTCACTGACTTCAATTATTAGAAATTTAATGTCATTTTTATTATTTTTTTTTATAATTATTATTTTGTTTGTGTGTATTTAGAAAATGAAGTTCTAGTTTCTATTTACTTGTTGATTCTTGAATTTTATAACAATATAAACTGTCAGCACAAAAATGTCTAAATAAATCAACTTAAAACTTCTTACTGCAGTGTAATAAAATGTCGATTTTCAGTAAATATTGTTTATTTGTTTATTAACAATTTGCTATTGTTTAAATGAATGACAAATTAAGCAACTGAAGAGATTTAAAGGCTGCGTTTCATTGTTCATTAAAAATGCATTATGCTGTGACACAAATGAGTGGTCTTAACTTTTTTTCCAAAGCATTTCCAGAGTTCAACGCTAAGAATTTTATCTACTGGTCTGATCGGGCCAGTGGTTGAGATTTTTACTTGCCCTGCCAAAGTTTTCACTGGCCCCACCAAATAAATACATAAATAATAGCTATTTCTTAGCCACTTTATTTTAAATAATGTGGCAAAATAATGTCTATAAATCTAGAATTAAAACATTTTAAAAATGTATAATAAGCCAAATTTAGGATTTTATGCAAACGAAAGAGCAGTATAGAAAATGTGCTGGTATTTTATTGCAATTCTAATTGTGACGGTGAGGAAATTTCCCCACCGGTTAATCGACATGTAATACCGGTATCATCGTGGGAGTGGGCGTTTCTTCATTTCCTCTTTTTTTCTGCTTTTAAATAGCTTATAAATGCGTGCGTATAATACTTTCACTTTCAGTTTTGCTGAAGTTGCCAATTCGGCGTCAATTGTTTGAATGGACGAAAAGGAAACTACAAAAAAAATCCCTGTTATTAAACAAAACATAACTTTTATTAACATAAGGAATAAAACACAACAATGCTACAGGCTGAAAAAACTGTGGAAGTTGTAACCATACAAATAACAACCATAAATGCCTACACTGTAAACGATTTCTTGTTAAATTAACAGTAAGTTACTGGCAACAATTATCCAGTAGCTGCTGTATTTCATAAAACAGTAACATTACTGTAATACTAATAACATTAGTATTACATTTACTGTAAAATGTAATACATCATTTTACTGTTGTTGATTTTTACTGTAACACTAATTACAGTAGTGGTGCACATACTGCAAAACTGAAAACAGTATTTTATTGTACATTTTTACCATGAAGAACTACGGTATTTTAACGTTACTTTCATTATTACTGTATAGTATTTTACAGTTATTAAATGTTATTTTATTTTATTTAATAGTGCTACTTTATAATGGGTAAAAATGTTCAAAAATTGCACAAGTGTTATTTTAACTGTTCAAGATGTACAAGAAAAATAAAGAAACTGAAACTTTAACTTCACAATAAAGGTTTATTGTGTAAACCATGCTAAAACAGTAGCAATAATTCAATATAACAGAGCAACAGAACACTAATAAACAATTGATCATTAAAACCAGTCAACAATTAATGCATCAAAAATTATTACAATTTTAAAAACAGGTGAAAATACTGCTACAAGACAGGAAATGATGAAGGCCAAATGATGTGGAAAGGGACAGTGAAAAAGGGCAGCAGCATAATGATGATCCTGCAAAAATGACAAGCAAAATCAATCACTGGAGTAAAAACTAATCATCCCTCAAACCATTTAATTCATTCAGAAACGAAACACTGCACTGCTGTTTATATATATATATATATATATATATATATATATATATATATATATATATATATATATAAAACAGTTTTTTAATTGTTTTGTTGGTGAAATACAGTTTGTTGTCAATTCACAATTACACTAACGTTAATGGGGAAAAGATCAGCGGGCATTGTTCTTGAAGATTGCTAGTCAGGTGTCCACACAGGTGTGTAAAATATAAAGTCTCATCTTAACTTAATGTCCGACTCTGTATAGCTCAAATATCTGATTCCATGATCACACTACTAGTGCTTCCACGGATTTAAGAGGGGTGAACACAGTTCGTTCTCACTTTAAGAGGCTACATATTTAAAATTAAATAAATAAAATAATCTAATTTAAAGTGACTAATGTTAATTAAATACTTTTAGGCTTTTAACACGTATAAATCCACTTCTAACTTACAGACAAGATTGCGTTAGAGAACATGAAAGCCGTGGGTGATTTTTTTTTAAATAATGCTAATGATAAGTTACTGATATTTGGTTTGCATAAAACAAATTAATCACTAAGCATTCATTTTTGGCAAAATCTGCAGAGAGGCTCAGCGACACGAGGAAATGTGTTAAAGTTGAGTAGAGAACTAAAGAGCAGTCTAGCCTACTTCATGAAATGTTTGTGGTGATATTCTGCTGTCAATTCGTATTACTGTATTTCAATATGCAGCACTGATGGCATGTCAACGAAACAAATAAACATTTTATCGAGTCATTTCATACAATTTATTTATTTATTTATTTATTATACGAACACCTCTCCAGTGACATTTCCTCAAACTAAATCATCATGACGTTACTGTGCACAGCATCAGTAAAACGTTGAGAATAATTTAAATACTTAATTTTTTAAAATAGTCACTGCTGATTACAAACTAACATTAAAGCTAAGCTTACAGAAATCCTGTATGCATGACAATATAAAGATGTATTACTCACTGATGTCGAAGCACTTCCAGGTCATCAGAGATGTAGACAGGACAGAATATGTGCTATCAAATGAGCTCTTGTGCAGCCTTTGTTGGACATCCAGGTAGTATGTTCACCCACACTGTAAGAAACAAAAACAGAAACAATTTATTAAAATGTGAGGGATAGTAAACATGTTTGGTCTACAGAGAGAAGAAAATGTTTACTTTAAGCATTGATCCTAATGAATCTATTTCTAAACTACATTTAACCTTATCACGGAAACAGCATTTTTGAGCTTTTAGACCAGGGGTGCTCAACCTTGTTTGCTTTAAATTAGAATTAAAACAATAAATCTCTATGTCAAATAAAATACTTCAGATCTAAATAAAGCAGGTGTTTTTACCTAAAGGTTCCTTCCCTCCAGTTAGTTTGGCTGCAAATCCCTCCACATCTGTGCTTTATTCGGTTCTTGTCTTGAGAGTAACTGGTGTCGCATTCCAGGTCCATCACAATCTGGGCTAGAAGGACAATATGACAAAAGACAAGACACATATAAATAAAAGTCTTAGAATAAAATATTTAAAGGAATAGTTTACTATTTTGCCACTATTTACTCCACGTGTTTTAAACTAGTTTGAATTTCTGTTAAACACTAAAGCAGATATTTTGAAGAATGTTAGTAACCAGTAACTATTGACATTCATATTTGAACCAAATTTCTTTAAAAAAATACGAGTTTGTGTTCAACGGAACAAAATAAATATATAACTATTTTGAAACAAGTGGAGGATGCCAAAGACGCTATTATTTTCATTTTTGGGTGAACTGTCCCTTCAATTCAAGTGTCAAGCAATAGTCATAAAAACTGATGTGTCGCTTGAGGAAAACTAAATCAAGTACCTTCTGTGAACAAGCAGAATCATTATGCCATTGTATTCAGTGATTCTCTTTTACATTTTCCCACTATAAAACGATAGCTTCAACATGCAATCCACGTTAAGACAAATGAATAGCATAAAATAACATATTGAACTAAACTTACAGTTTCCAGGCTCTTTGAAAAATAAAAATAAAAATGCATACGCCCAGTAAAATTGCTAATAAACAAAGACAACAGTTATAGAAAAAAATGTTTGTCTAATATTTACTCAGCACTTGGTAGGCAAATAGCATAGCCGTGGCTGTTTTAACACCAGATTTTTTTTTTATCTTAGGAACTGCTGGAAGAAGAAAAAGAGGTTGTACATAAAACTCCTCACAACAAATCTGTGAACAACTTGACATTTCAAAATCTAATCAAAATGAGAAAGACATCAACATTACCTTGAATAATCAAGTGAGGAGTGATTGGTAGCATCAGTTTTTCAACATCAATTACTGTAGCTGAAAAACAGATAAATATAATAAGAGTAAAATAAGACTTAACATTAATTAATCTAAATCTATGGTACAACGATACCAATCTGTTTGGGGTTAAAATACATTTGTACACAAATCATTCCCTGACCCCATTAATTTCTCTTAGAATAGGATGGATATATATATATATATATATATATATATATATATATATATATATATATATATATATATATATATATATATATATATATATATATATATAGTGATAATGACTTTGGCTTATATCTGTGTACTCAGAACATACACTCACCTCAGGTACACCTGAACACCAAAAATTAAATGTACAATTAATGACACACTATAAATCAAGCTCATTAACATTATTGAGAAATAGACAATTAATATGTATTTTGTTAATATTAACGTTTGCTTAAAATAATTAAACTGCATTTAATTTTCAGCTCCATTTAATAAAACAGTTAAGACTCATTTCATTATGAGTTTAGTTTAAATAACTAACTTACAGTTGAAAAATTTTACCATAATGATAGCTTAGTCATAATGACTAACTTATGTGAAGACCAGGGCTTACCTTAACGGTAAACGTTTAACTTTTCATGGTGACTTCGCCTTCATCTCAGTGTTGTGCTGAAATAGAGAATTCATTAATGCAGTTACAATAAGTTAAAGTTATGTTTTTCAGGTAACTTAACGTATGGTCAAAAACTCACTCAAGATAAACTCACTGTCTCTAATACCTCGCAAACACTACAATGACCGCCTGGCGTCTGTTATTTCTTGTTTAAAATACCATTTGTTAACGGATAGCGTGACATAACATAAGAACCTACAACTAGTCACTTGGTTAATTCTTTTAAATTACACACACAATACACAGAAATATATACAAAACAATCCTTTAACGCACAGAATTTGACTTTAAAACACTTACCGAGGATGAATTCGCTGGATGAAAGACGACAGGTGAATTTCAAATTAGGAGAGCCGTTGCCTGCATGTCGTGTCGTGTCCGTTCGGTTCTATGAATCGGCTCCTTAGTGAACAGCAAAGAATCGAATCCGCCTAAAACCGATTCCTTTTTGTATATGATTCATTACTATTTCGTAATACTGCTTGGCCACACGCATTTATACACTAATTATACACTAATTGCATATTG